TGTGGAGCCATTCGCTGATTCATCTCTGCTAGTAACAGATGAGGCTCTGGATCCAAGTAACTAAAGGGAAAATAAATTTTGATACACTAAAATAACAAAGACAATTAGCGGGAGCATGTGTCGAAAGTGACAAAGACATGAAACGAATAGTTAGAGGTAGTAGGACTAACTTTTCTGGTAGTGATAGGGGCCTGGTGAATAATAAGGTATACAAAATTAAGATGTCAGTTTGTGCTTCAAAAATGCAATCCTGTAGGTCTTAAAGTTAATTGGTACTTTAGCCACCAGATTAATTTATCCATACAGGAAGACTTCACTATCCAGTCCATTTTAGGGTCCTTTTTTATACCATGAGATAGAGATATGTCTCCGTCATTGATCGATTTTACTTGCAGTGTTTGACGACATCTTTTGATTTTAAAAATATAATTTTGAAAGAAAGGTGTAACTTTCCCCCATAAAAAATGGGATTAAGAAGCTTTAAGTTTTGTTTTCAGTTAAGAGTATGATCAGCTGGATATTGGATTTATATTAATATATACAGATTGGTTTTGCTCAGCTCAAGTATATTTAGATCAAAGCAATACCAGGTTAAGTTAGTCCGGGCAAGGAATCATATAATGGTATTAGTTAGTAGACGTACTACAAATGTACAAGTAATTTTCTTATCTTCTTAGTGGATTTTCTTCCTTCGGTTTCAGATCAGAAGTTGTATAATCAATACGTCTGTTGTAGGAAAAACACTACGTGTAAGGTATAAGGCCCCCTTTGGGAATGTATTTGCAAATTATCTAACCATTTTTGTTATTTAAATGTGATTTCCCTGGGTTGTTTCTCAAACAAAATTACATCCATGTCTGGTTTCTCAGACATGGTATTTCACATTTGGACAAAAGCTACAATGAGTAACTTTTGGCCTACATAATTTCTAGCGTTTGAGACTCCCTTCTTTTATCAGATAACTTATTACCGTATAACATAGCAACTTTAATTTATTGGGGTAATTCATAGAAAATAGTATTTTAGTTGTCGAGCGCCAAGAATTTACATTGTTGGAACGCAACCTTGTGTGTTTAAACCTATTCTAGTAAACTACACTATGAATTGGAATTTCATTTACTCATGGTGTTGCCAAATTGGCAACAAGTTGACGAGCACTTGATTTGAATTTAATTTCTGTTGGTCTAACTGTTGGATTGTTAACGATCTAAAGTGGAGATATTTTGAACTGGATACATTTATAAAAATAAATGTGCATAACACACCAATAGAAAAGGATACATGCATTGATATAAATGCCAAATATTTCATGACATTTTCAAAGCAAAAGCCCCGGCCCTAGTATAATTAAAGATAAGGACCAATTGATATGTGATACATAATACATGCATGACAACTCTCCACTAGTATCTGCAAACATACATTAGGTTAACAACGACACAAATACCTAGCAAATTTCTTTTCACTTCCATATATAATTGCATATAACGTGCATAATCTGATAGTAATGTAGTAGTTCCTACCAGTAAAAAGAGGGTGAGGAAACCTCATACTCATACCTAAGAAATACTGCATGTTGGTGGTGCCTTAAATTATAAAGTACACTATATATTTACTGGTTGATTTGTTGTTTAATCCTTTTTATTTCCTAAAGAAAATTAAATTTTGTTGTTTGTGTCTTGAGCATTCAATGTAGACTGATCATCTAATTTTCTTGAGCAGCTAATTATATTTGATTTAGGAGATAAGTTATATAGTCTAAAGATCAATTTATACAGTATACATATGTATTTTGATTGGTTTACTCTATCTTTCATATTATCGTATCAAGAGTTAATATTGTAAATCAACATTATCAAATTGGTGTAAAAAGCCTATACATTGTTAGTGCTGAACTTAAACTCTTTCATTTATACATGCCAAAAAGAGAAGATTATTTGAATTAAACTTTTCCATCTGCATTCACATGCATAGAAACCTTTTTTCTTTTTCCTCTCCTTCACAAAATGCTGTAATAGAGTTGGTCTCTATTAGTTGTACCAGAAAGGTAACAGAGTCTTTTATTTCAACTGCCACATGTTATGGTCTTAACCGGATTGTCTTCAGGTCTCTCTCTTTCCTGCCTTCTCCTGACCTGTTTGCCAATTGAGCATTAACTTCAGATCTCTTTTAAATTTATACATGGCTGTCAAATGAACTTAAATTGGAGATATAATTTTGTATAAAAATGTGTGGTATGGGACAAATTGAGTCCCTGACCATGTCGTATCCCGAATAGACGTGCATTTAGAATTTCAATATTAGTTGGTGTGACTTGGATAAGAGACACGTGTCCCATTTTAAAATCATTGGTTTAAATTTAACTAATTAAATCAAGGTCTTAATCGTAGTTAGAATAAGAAATATTCCATATATTGCTCTCTAAAAAATTCTTAATCCCAACATTTTAGCAACACTTTTTCATATCCATAAGAAATTAAGTCTCTTTTCATCTCTCTTCCCGAGTTTCTCATTTTTCTCAAAGTTCTAACCCTTCTGTTGACTATATAGTCCACTCTATCCCCTCTTTTTGGCTATATATTTTGCCTCTTAGGAAAAGTTTAGTTATTAATAATGCACGGGATCAAATTTGCTAAAATTTGAATTAATATAATTGATTCAATATTTAAAATATTGGGTGGGGGGCGGGGGAGGGAGATTGGCGTTGGTAAGAACCAAATACAAAAAGTCGTTTTTAAATTCCATAATTTGTACCGCCATTTTTTTTTTTTTGTTATCGACACTAATTAACCGTCAATATTGATCAATATCCATGAAAAACAGAGGAAAAATTACAATATGATGTCAATCATTTACTATTTAGTATCAAAAATCTAAAGACAGTACCAACATAGATGACTCTTTTTAAGAAAAATAAAAAATAAAGCTAGGAGCGGGGACAATAATTTGAATATGTTTGATTACTAAGTGCAAGAAAAGAAAATTACTCCATTGCAATTAATAATCATAAATGTACAAAAGAGGAAAATCAAGATGGAGGGACGAGATGGAAGTTTAGAAATCTGGAAATTGTTTTTCTGTTGCAGCATTGTTGTTTGTAGTCTACTGAATGCATTTGTGTTATATATTGTTCACGTAAAGGCTCCTTTTTCTGTTTGATCTTATTTAGTCCTAGTAATACTTAGATAGAAAAAAACAAGATTTTATGTTCTCATCCCATATCTACGTTCACTCATACAAGTCATCTTGATTTTGTAGAAGCATAAAGAGTACAAAGGTTGATAACTAAAGGAAGGTTGGCACTACCGGTTCATCATCCATTTCGACTTTTATTTTTTAGTTTCGTCCTTGTTGCGACAGGTATATCTATATATCTTTTTTTTTTAAAAATATATGTTTATGAAAAATATATCTTTATATAAGTCATAGGACTTGCCTCATTCTTCATGTTACCTTGTTTGCCAATAATTAAATGGTTGGGTTTCATTTGTGTAAATTTGAAATTTTAGTTTCACTTTGATGCTAGGAGTTAACTATTAGTTTATATTTACATGTTATTCATTTCACTTTAAGTTTGAATGAAACAATGAAATAATACTATGTAAGCATAGTACTAAGTGCACTTTCTCCGAATATTATTATTGTTGCAAATTTAACTAGTCAATTGGACATGTGAGACTTCTCTTGTTGAATTTTGATTCCGCTATAAACTAGTAGATATACTTTTGAATGTAATCAATCTAATTTTTGTTGTGAAATTTTATATTTATAGAGTCATTCATAGTTAAAATGTTGAAGGTATTACAATTATTCAAAGTAGGAACCTTTAGAAGAATATCTCAATAGTTTTTTCTCTTGATGTAGATGGAATTTGAATCGTAGATGGATGTATAATAGAACTCATCCTAATCGTGCGGGATTGAGGGAGGAATTTATAGAAGGAGTTACGAGGTTTATTGCTAAGGCGAAATCGCTAAATGATTTTCTTATTGAAGGGACAATTAGGTGCCCTTGTATTAAATGCAAGTGTGTCAAGTTATTGAGACCAGATGCAGTTGAACTTCATCTTTACAAGAATGGATTTATAGAAAATTATTATTTGTGGACTGTTCATGGAGAGAATCATGATTTTCATAATTCTTTTGGTGGTGAGGGTAGTCCCAGAATAGAGAATAATTTTGAAAATTCTCGATTCAATAAAATGATGAGATGCATTTGAGATGTTCCCAGGGGCTCACTCCGAACCAAATGATGAGGCTAAGCGTTTTTATGAACAACTAGAGGAAGCTAGTCGTCCATTGTATGAAGGCTCAATGCATTCCAAGTTGTCTGTTGCAGTTAGACTACTAACTATCAAATCCGAGAGTTCTATTTCTCAAGCGGGCATGGATTCTATCATTAGGCTTATGAATGAACTAAATCCGAATAAAATTGATTTACCCAAAGATTTCTATACTGCAAAGAAATTGGTGTCCAAGTTAGGACATTCATCAGAGAGGATTGACTGTTGTGAGAAAGGATGCATGTTATTTTACAAGGATGATGCAGCGTTAGAAAATTGTAAGTTTTGTAACCAACCTCGTTATAAGGAGGTTACAAATGCTAATAAGAAGAAGGTTCCAGTGAAGGCTATGCATTACTTACCCCTTATACCAAGGTTAAAGAGGTTGTATGCATCAATGAGCTCCGCTCTTCAGATGAGATGGCACTATGAACATAGAAGGCCAACCGGTGTTCTATGTCACCCGTCAGATGGAGAAGCATGGAAGCATTTTGATAGGGTGTTCCCGGACTTTGCAAGTGAACCAAGAAATATTAGGTTAGGATTATGTGCTGATGGATTCACTCCATTTGCAGTCTCTGCCGCACCATATTCATGTTGGCCACTGTTTGTTACGCCGCATAATCTTCCTCCAGAGTTTTGTATGACAAGTCCATATTTGTTCCTAACTTGAATTATTCCAAGTTCACGCAATCCAAAAAGTTTGATTGATGTATACATGCAGCCGTTGATTGATGAGTTAAAGTTATTGTGGCATCAAGGTGTTGAAACCTATGATATATCAACTAAACAGAACTTCAGATTGCGTGCTGCGCTAATGTGGACTATAAATGATTTTCCTGCTTATGGAATGCTATCCCGGTGGTCGACTGCTGGAAAGTTAGCCTGCCCGACTTGCATGGAAGACACAAAAGTGTTCACTTTGAAACATGGAGGTAAGAACACATGGTTTGACTGTCACCGTCGTTTCTTGCCAATGGATCATGAATTTAGGAAAAATTCTAGTGCATTTATGAAGAATCAAACTGATTATGAAGAGCCACCTTCAGTCTTGTCGCCAGAAGAAATTTGGAACAGAGTTAGGGATCTACCTAAGGTAGCAGAGTCTCCATTGCCTAATAAGATACCTGGTTATGGTGTTACCCATAACTGGACTAAACAGAGCATATTTTGGGAGTTACCTTATTGGAAGCATAATCTTCTAAGGCATAATCTTGACGTCATGCACATTGAGAAGAACTTTTTTGATAACTTATTTAATACTGTGATGGATGTCAATAACAAGACAAAAGATAACTTGAAGGCCGGGATGGACTTGAAGGAATATTGTAGGCGAAGTGAGTTGTACCTTACATACTTGAACAACAAGATTCAGAAGCCCAATGCTAGTTACACATTCACTTTGGATGAGAGAAGAGAGATTTGTCAGTGGGTTAAGAATTTAAGTATGCCAGATGGATATGCGTCAAACTTATATAGGAGTGTTGACATGAAAGAAGGGAAGTTGATGTCAATGAAAAGACATGATTGTCACAATTTCATGGAATCATTGATGCCTATTGCGTTCAATGCCTTGCCTGATAGAATATGGAAGCCTATCACAGAGATAAGCTTATTTTTTAAGGAGTTGTATTCTAGCACATTGAGGGTGGAGAATCTAACTTACATGGAGAGTAATATTCACTTAACTTTAAATAAGTTGGCAAAAAATTTTCCTCTTGGTTTCTTCGATATAATGGAGCATCTTCCAATTCACCTTGCGCAAGAGGCACGACTTAGAGGGCCAGTTCAGTATAGATGGATGTATCCATTTGAGAGGTAATAAATGATTTTTAATCATTTGCCCTTTACTTATTTTAATTAAATATTGTTCCGTCTAAGAAATCGTAATATGCAGGATTATTGGCAAATGTAAGCGGACTGTGAAAAATAGATCGAGAATTGAGGGATCGATATGTGAGGCATATCTGGCTAAAGAAACTTCTTATTTTTGTTCATATTATTTTGGACATAATGTGCCATGTTTGAGAAATAAACCCAATCGACATGACGATGGAGGAAGTAATGATCCTACAGCACCACCATTTTCCATATTCAATCAACCAGGAAAAGGTGGTCCAAAAAGTAGTTCAAAGCGAATTTTGACTGAGAAGGAACTAGAGTCAGCTACAACACATGTACTATTGAATTGCCCCGAGGTCCAACCTTATTATAGGTAAATATATATTTATATTACCAAGTTCCATACAAGATTTATTCTTGTTTTAACTAATGAATATTATAGTTGTGTCGGATAGTTACTTTGTGGGTACATATGGGCAGAATGCTGTTTATCCTAGGTTTTCAAAGTGGTTTAGAGAATTTGTAAGTGTTACTTAATATTTAACATGGTTTTTGTTAGTTGCAAATTAATTACATGTAATTTAAAATTCTAAATTTTCTCTAATTCTATATAGGTTCATAATCCAGCTAATGGCATATATGATCAATTTATGCATGATATAGCTTGGAGACCTGATCCTAGAGTCAAAAAGATATCTAGGTATTGTGTTAATGGGTACAAGTTCCATACAGAAGAATGGTCTAAGGGCAAGAAAACCAATAATAGTGGAGTGTGGGTGAAAGGTGAGGGGGATGTTGATTATTATGGTGTGATTCAAGAGATTTTAGAACTCGAGTACAGTGTTGGTTAGCCAAAGAAAAAGTTGGTACTCTTTCGGTGCAAGTGGTATGGTCCAACACCAAATAGAGGTACGAAGGTGCACCCCCAGTACAAAATAGTTGAAATTAATCACACAAGGGATTATCCATTCTATGATTCATTTATCATTGCACAAAATGTAAAACAAGTGTATTACACTCCTTATCCTTTGTGCAAGAATAAGTACTCATGGAGGATGGTTATTAAAACAAAACCCGTGGGTAGAGTGGAAGTCAAGGATGTTTTGGATGTAGCTTACCAAAATGACATTTCAAGTGTTGAAGCATTGGTAGATGATGAATTAGCATGTGAATTACACCATAGCGAAGGCATCTATGAAGAATTTGATATTTCTGTCCTTAGATCAAATTTAAATGATGATGGGGAAGGAACATCCAGGGCAAATGAGGAGGAAGACCCAGCCAATGAATATGAAACAAGCGATGAGGAAGAATTACCTAACGGAAACGAAACAAGCGATGGAGAAGAATTTCTTGATGACTATGGAACAAGTGATGAGGACGAATCTAATAATGAATATGAATCAAGTGAAGATGATTGACTTGTTGGGTTTTTATTATCTCTTTAAATTTTATATTTTTCCTTAGTTATCTAATATGTTAAAGAATTATTTTATGTTTTTATTATGTCGTTAGGTTTTATGTTATTCTTTAATCATTTAATTTGTTGAAAATTACTTTATGTGTTTATTATTTCTTTAATTTTTATGTTTTTCCTTAATCATCTAATTTGTTGAGGAATTACTTTATGTTTTTATTATTCATTAGGATTTTTATGTTTTTTTCTTAATCTTCTAATATGTTGAAGATTTTATCTCTTTATGTTTTTATATTTTTTCCTAATCATCTAATTCTTTATGTTTTTTGTATTATTCCTTATACATCTAATATGTTGAAGATTTGCTTTATGTTTTTTTACTATGGTTATATTACGTAGATGGCATCTGGGGGTAGCGATCGTCGACGCCGTAAGGGTAAGGGGACTCAATTACAATCTCCAACTGCAGGTCACTCTCCTCCACATATGGGGCCTCCTCCTACTTTTCCTCCTCAGTCAACTTCGTTGCCACCTACATTTTTTATGCCCCCACCTGGGCCTGTCCACATTTCTGTATCTTCAGTTGGCCCGAACTCTGGCTCTAACCTTAATTTTATTCCCACACCAAATGTAACTTCTTCTCTCGATTTTCATATTAGTCAATAAGGTAGCTCCTCAGCACTGCCTACTTCATCGACGCCAGCTGCATCTCCGGCATCAAGCACACCTAGCGTATCTAGGTTAAATATTGGAGTCTCTGGCACACCAACATCACCATCCATTGGTAGTGCTACACCAGCAGCTTCTCGTGGTCGAAGTGGTAAAGTGACTCCACAATATGATGCATATGGTAGGCTGATTATCGTTCCGGATGAGAAAGATGGGTAAGTAATCCTTATGTTTATTTTTATTTTGTTGAATATACATTTTACATATGTTAATTTTAATGCAGGTATTTCCCTTCATTTGTTGCCGCGCATATGGTTACAGAGTCTATGAAACCGCTTCACGATGATTCTTGGGGTAGATGAAAAGACATTCCATATGATATCAGAGATAAAATGTGGAATCAGTTTAGGGTACGTATAAACCTTATTTTTAAATTATATATTAAATATCCAATTTCACTCTACTTTATTTATTTTCCAGGCTAAGTGTGTGTGGGAGCAACGATATGACGATGAAATAAAACATGTCTACGAGAAGAAAACAAAAAAATTGATTACAAGTTCATTGTATGAAGCTCGAGAAAAGAGAAAGAATCATGTTTGGATAAGAAAAGATGTGTGGATAAAAAATTTAGCAATATAGGATAGTCCTGAATTTAAGGAGAAGAGCGAACGAGCAAAGACAGCCCGAGCCTCTCAAAAGGGTGGCTCGTTGCACACCGGGGGATCTATGAGTTTTGCTGCGGATCGATAGAGATTGGTAATGTTCACTAGAAAGCTTAATTTCTCACTTTTCCTATGTCATCGTCTTCTTTGTTTTTCCTTTCTATATGAAGTTGTAGTTAGTTTTGCTATAGAGGATCTATATGACTGATTAGAACGTGGTTGGGGAGTACAAACTAAGAGCAACGGATTGGAGCATAGGAGTAATATGTTTGTTTAGCTTCATCCTTCTGTTATTTGAAGGTTGTACAATATTTCTTCCACGTCTAAACTTTGTACTCTAATAAGTGCATGTGCAAAGTGATCCACTGTTCCTGCACTTGGGCCAAAGGAAAAATCTACATCCCAACCCCTTTTTAAATAGTTATATGATGACCTTGTGTTGCTTGATAAGAGGTCCCTTTTACTAAGGGGTGCTTCGCTTAAAAGTTTCAATACCTGGAATAGTCTGCTCGAAGCTTAATGTTCCAAATCACTTGTCAAAAATAAATAAATAACTAAATAAAAAATTAAAACTCCTGGTAGTTAAGACGAGTATTGTCTCTGTCTTTGCAGCTGGACATTCTCTTGTTTTTGTTAGAGGTTGAATGGGCAGTCAGCCTCATCCAGCATATATGATTTAGGTCAGAGATTTTTCTAGTCTTACTTTTTTCCTGCAAAGTGAGAGTAAAAATATGTTGACCTTGTTGCCTGTTGAATTAGTTTAGAACCTGCTGCTTTTTAGTCGTGTGATTCGCATTGGGATTGAGAGTTTGGTGCTATTTGAGCAGCTTAAGGTGTAGAATATCAGTTTGCCTGTAAGATTTTGGTTATATATGCTATTGGAAAGAATTGGTTAAAGCAGCATAGGGAAGTTCTACTTCCTTCAAAGCATCTCTGACTTCTTTTGTTTCAAATAACCTTACTAATACACCGATGAATGGTACTCCTTCCAGCCATGCATTTTTCAAATTTCTGTCTTTCGGTATATTATAGGTCACTTTTCTTTTTTAGCCTGTGTTGTGTTAGGGAAGCTGCTTGGGCTGCATTTCATCCAACTTCAATCCTCAGGGTCCTCTGGTTCTCCATTTCAAATGCAAAGGTCAAGGATCTGTTCTACCAACATCAGATAAATATTTATAACTGGATTTCACAAAGAAATCCTTCTACGGTCAGAACTCCATTGTAAGGAATCCATACCACCAAGTAGCCAATCCTTTTCCTCCTCTTTGCTGATTAGCCTAGTTAGACTTTTAAGTTACTGCTCCTGTCAATATCCTGAATTGAATATATTAAGAGCAGTTTCCTTCTATATTTTTGGATGGTCGCATCAGAATTAGTCCTATGGTCCAAGAATAGAGAGGTTTTAAAGGAGTAGGCGCGGCTTAGAAGTTAGAACTTAATTCTCAGTAGCCAACTCTGCTTTGCTATTGAGTTAGCACTATCACTATATACAATAGACTTCAGAGTTTAGAATGAACTCAACCTTACTATATGCATATTTGTATATATACCATTGATAATAAGGAGTTGATGTGTTTGGTATAAGATGCTCTTTTGTTAGAACAATTAAAATACCATTGCATTGGTTTAACTTTGGTTGTTCTATCTTGCATTTTATCTGCTGTTTTTTCGAAGACTTAATAGGAACATGAAGATTATGATTTTCTAATGGTTTCTGCATTTGTAAAATACATGTGTTCATTCCTTTTTATTTCTATGCGCATCATTATTCAGCCTAGAAAATACATGAAGGTGTAGGAAATGATTGGGACAAATGGATACTAGAAGTTCTTTGATGATAGCAACATTTGTACATGTGCACGCGTAGAGCGTATAAGGGGCAAGCCCATCTCAGCTAGAATGTAATATTTACCTGATGAATAATGAAATTTAGCATGCTCGTGAGTTACCTATAGTATGCAAAGCTTCCTTTTTGTATTGTTAATAAGAGGCCTATGTTGATATCACTAATCAATTCTGGGCTTCTTATAAGAAGTGTTAACTTTTTCATATATCGGACTACAATCAATTCTCAGTTGAACTTTTCTATATTTCCAAGATTCTGATAAGTTATACTCCTTAAATTATCAGATAAGTTATACTCCTAATAGTTACTACTGGTTAATCCTTATATATATACACTTTCTCTTGACTCTTGTTGCATTATGCACTCTTCACTTGAGAATGTTATCGATGTGGCATTTATTTGGACATCACTAAAAAAATTACAATTTTTATTGCAGGAAAAGTTAAAAGGGGGACCAGTGTCTCATGTTGAGGTCTTTGCGGAGACATGTAACGACCCGATCGTTCGTTCTGAGAGTTATAGCCACATTTCCCCCATCTATGCTTATTTATATGTTGTTCAGCTGTGTTGAGTTGTATTGAGTTGGTAGGTTTGGGTTCGGAGTAGTTTTGGAGTGAAATGAACACTTAGTCTCTTAGTTAGAAAGCTAAGTTAGAAAAGTCAACCGGAAGTTGACTTATGAGTAAAAGAATTTGGATTTGAATTTTTATGATTCGATTAGCTTTGTCGGGTGATTTTAGACTTAGGAGTGTGTCCGGAATATAACTTGGAGGTCTGTGGTAGAACTAGGCTTGAATTGGCGAAAGTTTGAAGTTTAGAAGTTCTTAGGCTTGAATTCGAGGTTTATTTGGTGTTTTGGTGTTGTTTTGGGTGTTCCGGAGGTTCGACTAAGTTGGGGTAGTGATATATGACTTGTTGGAATTATTGGTTGAGGTCGCGAGGGCCTCGGGTGAATTTCGGATAGGTTTGGGTTGTGTTGCGCTCGTTTTTCTTATGTTCCGACGCCGTTTCTTCAAGCATAAATGATATCATATTGAACAAATGAGTTACAATTTCTTTTTTGATTGAAGCATTATATCCGTATCGTAATTACGGACCCGTAGCAAAAAGAATCGCCAAATTTGGACATCGTATGAGGATTTAATGGTCATTTTACTAAGAATTAGGTTGCCAGATTTTTCAGATTAATTACGAAATTGCCACTGACGGCGTATTTAAAAATCTGCACTATTTGCAAATATTAAAACCTACATA